AGAGAGAGAGAGAGCGAGAGAGGAAGCCATTTAACTGTCTGTGCTTTTACAGGTCCAAGAAGAAGATTGCTTCTCCAAAAGGACTTTCAATAAACCTGATTTCTCAAATATAGTACATGGGATATCACATCATCAGATTGAGAAACCAATAATATTGTTCATTTTGACATGGTTTCAAGCTTTCAGTGAAATTAGAAACCGGTGTTAGAGAGAGAATCTAATTTGGGGTTTTCAAAATCCTAAAATAGGAATAAAACATGGCCAGAGACTAAACAGAAAAACTGGGGAATCTGGTGCCATCAAACCAAACTAAGCCAAGTGCAAGTATTAAAAATATGGATAAATTCTTTTTTTAAGCAGAGAAAAGATTGATAAATTAACAAAAAGCATTCACCTGTAAATGGCTCTTGACATGAGCTAACGTGAGGTCCTTGACATCCATGAGCTCAAGAACAGATTTAGGAGTTGCCCCTGGTAATCCAGTTTCAATGCATTATTGATTCTTTTATTTTTAATCATAGAGAAGTCTAATCAAAGATAAATCCCATTTTCCTGTTCTCTTCTTTTCTTGAGACAAGTGTGCACTCGACTCGGCCATGGTGCTCAGTCCTTGGCCGAGCCGAGTAACTCAGCTAAGTCCCCAGCAAAGGAACTTTTGGACCAAAAACAAAAATTTGAAAAAATAATAAACATGTAGTAAAAATAAATTGAAACTTAAAACGACTTAAAAAAGTTAAAACAAGATTAAAATGTAGAGAAAAAATTGATTTAAAAGAAACCGATTTAATCCACTCAGCCTCACGGAGTCTGAGTGGATTAAGAATGCATTTTCTTTTTCAAGATTGATGTGAGAGTACAAGGCCCTTATACCAGGAAATTATGGGAGTCTGAAAACACTCCTTTATCTATTGTAAGAAAAAAGGTAGAAATATTTTCTTCCCCTACACCGGAAAGAAGACTGAGTGTTCCTTTATGTCTTCTTTCTCTGCTTAGGATGACTTGAACAGAAACACTCTTTTCTTATTTCTTTCTGTTTTTTCTTTTCTTTTTCCTCTTGATGCCAAAGGTCTCTCTCTCTCATATAGACAACCAAAAATCTCCAAATCAGGGAAATCTCAAAAACAATCAAGGTTGCAAATATAGAAGCTAACCTAAAAAAAAAACTATTCCTAATAATTGTTTTTTCTTCTTATAATTGGACAACACCTTAAACTAGGATTCACAAAAGGAAATCCATCAACATTCCCACAAAATTCCCAGTCTTTGAATTCAGGCCAAGGTTGTTCCCTTAAGAATCCAAGACGAAACTCAAAAACCATATGCTCACCATTCCTTTAATCTTTCATTGTGACTTTTCCTTTTGATAATTAGATATGTGGTAGATTTCAAACTAAAAGAAGAAACCCTTCACCACTCACTCCAACAAGAAGCAATTCTCACCTTAAAACAAATCTTACCTTCTCACTCTAAGATGAAGAACAAATCCTGCCTTTCTCTCACTAAAAAAAAAAATTCTCTTAATCTAAAAAGTTTTTCTGACTCCAAAAATAAGAACAAATCCCACTTTCTCACACTAGAGAAAACCATTCTCACTCTTTAGAAAAACTCATTGTCTCATACTAAAAATAAGAACATATCTTACTTTCATGGCCACCCAAGAGCTCGACAGCATGAACGAAACGGGCATGGAGGCTCGATGTCCATCGCATTCTCGGGGCTCTCATACTTCTTCTTGCTGCTGTAAATCTAGTCATGAACCTCGATCTCATGCCTCCATTAGACCCAAAATTGTAAGAAGAAGAAGGAGGAGAAGAACTTGAGAGAGAAGGACAAGAAGTAGATGAAGAGAGAGAAGACGAAGAATGTAAATCACCAAAATGGTCACTAGAAAGGAAGGGAAATGAAGAATTGTAGTAAATGGGTATCCCTCTTATGGGTCTCAACCCATGGCTATAGAGATTCACAAGTCCTCGTTGAGGTGGGGTTTCTCTCTCTAGAGAGAGGTCAAGCCCATTTTCGAGTCGTCTAAAACCCAAATCGGATTCCCTTTCATTTCTTGAGGCCCAATTCGATGTGGGTTTGGAATTAGGAAGGCTGATCTGAAGAGATAGGTCAGGTGGTGCAGGAGAAAGCTCCATGAAAGTTCTTGGGTCAATTCCTTGGTTTTTCCGGCGATAATTCTGAGTTTTCCGGCAAGTGGGGTAGTGGTGTTCTAGAGAGAGATGATATGGGGAGGCAAGTGGGGTAGTAGTGTTGTAGAGAGAGAGAGATGATGGAGGGAGATTGGGTGGAAGAATTATAGGAGCTGAAACAGTGAGAGTATGATAAATCTTGTTTGTTGTCGAAGAATTTGGGTATGTGAGAGAAAATGACACTGGAAAATGATTAAAATTTAACTGACCATTGTGTCCTCGTCTTTTTACTGAAATATGTACGGAAAAGTTTACATAGAGCTGAGGCTATGAACGATCAAATTTGAGCCTACCTCAACACTTTTATTAAAAAAAAGTGGTTTTGATGGCCAAATATTTTTAAATTGATAATCTGGACATGAGAAAAGAATGGATTTTAAGTTCTGAAAATAGTGTATTTTGTGACAAATTTTTTTATCGTCAATTTTCAAGGTTTACAAGTTTTCATAGATCTATTGATCTATACAATTTTTGAAGCTTTAAAATTTATAAATAAATATGAAATAAATTTTAAGGCTATCATAGTGATTTCCAGTACTAAAACCACATTTCTTGACAATATTTGAAAGTAGGCTCTAATTTGATTGTTTAGAGCCTAGGCTCTATACAAACTGCACATAAATATATATCATATCCTCTACTTCGTCCCAAAATGTCCATGTACCTAAGCCGCCAGCCATTTTAGGGAAATTTATATGAATCCTATATGGAGTCCATGTAGGAATGAGTCCCCTCTTAAAAATCTTTTTTTTAAGTAGAATTTGGACCCGATTTTTAAAGACATATAATTTCTAACATGAAGAATATGAATATAAAAAATAAATAAAAATTTTAAATTAAAAATCGTAATTTTATAAAAAAAACATTTGGACCATTAATTTCAACTATTTTTAAATGGACCACCTATTTGCATCCGTCTTTGAGTTGGATGCTTTATACCCCGGGGGACTTAAATGTAAAAATGCGTCCCCCGACACATGGAATAATTTTCCATAAGATATTATTACATTTTGTATAAAGGATGTCGCTTGTAAAAGGATGAGGCTCTAGACAATAATATAAGGTGCATCTTCAGAAAGTGTCAAAAGACTGTTGTTTCAGTAATAAAAATATTTGTGAGGGTCAAAAAATTTATTTCATCTCTAATTATAAAGTTTGAAGTTTAAAAAATAATGTAGATCGACCAGATCTATGACTACTTGAAAATCTTGAAAATTGATGGTCAAGAAAATAGATTATAAGATATGCTATTTCCAAAACTTGAAATCTATATTTTCTCCGGTCCATACATCTTGAGGTAGAGATAATCGATTTGAGGATTTTTGGGCATCAAATCAACCTCTTCTAATGAAAGCCTAATTTGATTGTTTAGAGCCCCACCCCTATATAAACTTTTTTCGCTACCTAAAATGGTCTAGTGTTTAACAGGACAAAAGGAGACATAGAGTGAAAAATCTTGATGAAAGCCAAATTTAAACACTAAATGGGATTGCGAATATTGTTAGAATATAGATGCATGAAATGGTCTTTTTGGTAATAAAAGGGCAGTTTTGGTGATTTATAAAGGGACTGAGTACTACTTTGAGGAAGAAGATAGGGGGCATTTATGTCAATTTTCCAATGGCAAAGGGTATGGGCCGCCTTTTGTGGTTGAGAGGAAGAAAGGGCAAAAAAAAAAGAGTTTTTAGTGATTCCTATACTTTGTATCCTTAAGTCATAAAAAAGGAAATCTCTTTTCCTAACGTGTGCTTTTGTCTCCACCACAAAACCACATCTTCATTGCAATTAAAGGTTCCAAACTCTCTCTCATACGAAGAAATCTCTCTCTCTCTCTCTATATTTATTAACTTATTTATTTATAAGGTGGGGTTTGTATAGGGCCTAGGCTCTAAACAATCAAATTAGAGCTCATCTTAAAATAGTATCGAGAAATGTGGTTTCAATATTGAAAATCTTTGTGATAATCTTAACATATATTTTCATCTTTATTTATAAAGTTTAAATATTCAAAATAGTGTAGATCTACAGATCTATGAAAATTTGAAAGTCTTGAAACATAACGGTCCAAAAATACATTACAAAATATGCTATTTTAAAAACTTTTAAGTCTATTTTTTTCTCATGTTCATGCATCTTGATGTTGACATGATCAATTCAAAGATATTTGAACATCAAAACAAACCTTTTTTAGTGAAATATTTTAGGTAGACTCTAATTTGATTATTTAGAACCTCGGCTTTATATAAACCTTTCTCTCTCACACACACACACAATTACATGAAGGAAGGGTCTCTCTCTCATCCACATACGGAAAATACCACCAAAAAATCAACTATCTATAATGAAAATAGCAACTTCCGTTCAGACCAAGCTTTTTGCTATTTTTGGGTTTGATTCCTCTAGGGCACGAAGAAACCAACTTTCAGGTCCCCATTGAGAATGGGTTTGAGGCTGTGGTCGTGGTGGTAGGACTTCCTATGCCCTAGCTAAAGTCTAGACTTCTATTCTCACCTAACAAATTTAACAACCAGTAATGTATTTAAAAATGGATAAGGGCTCGTCATTCTCACTGAATTACCAAAAAAGAAAATAAAAGGTCCCCAATTGAATTTTGGATAATTTTAAATTGACCAAATACCAATATTATTCTTAGTCTCACAAATTAAAAAACAACATGTATATGCGCATTTTGACCAAATTTTGTCCCCAAAAAAAATTGGGATTGTTTTCTATGAGACTATTTATCTTTGTTTCAATGAGGTTACAATTGCATTCAGCCATTACATGTCAAATTTGATACCTTGGTGAGCATACGATTGACTAGATTCAAAGCTCAAGACAAAGTTCTCAAACTTTAAAATCTCAAGGGCAAAAATGCTTGTAACCTCCTTATAATATAAGTAAAAGAAAAGTATACAAATAGACCATTTACTTTTTGTATAAAGAGGTCACAATCACTAATGTCCCTTAGAATTCAAATTGGGTAGTTGTAGGAGTGTCATTGAATAGACTCAAAGTTAATTTTTTTTTTTTCGAACTTTATGATTATCCTAAGCCATTCAATTTGAATTCCAATGAGTAGGAATAATTGTGACCTGGTTAGAAGTAGTCTGAAAAGATATGGGAACTTTAGAGCAGAATGACGGATCAAAATTCGTGCAGCTGACCCTAATTAATTGAGAAAGGACTATGATTATGATGATGATGAATAACTATGACCTCCTCGTACCAAAAGTAAATTGTATACCATAAGTAAATTGTTTCTTTATATACTTTTTCAAAAATACAAATTTATCTTGTGCACAAAGAATCCAGCATTAGGTATATATTGGTGATTGTATGTCTTGGTCCAATTTTGATATTTTTCAAAGGATTCAGGTTGGTTTTGAAGCTTCAAGATGATGCTTTCTAGAAATTCTAAATGGACTGTTAGAAAAGTTTGTTCTACCTACCAAAAACAAAGAAAATCTTACTACTTATACATCATGGGATCTCAAGACATGCTTTTGTCTCCAAATCACTTTGAATTACCATTTTCTCCTTCACAAACACACATTGTGGACGATACATTTACAATGGCCATGGTAGTTTCTCACCATAATTAGCATCATAATCAAGGAATAACCCATGATTACTGAAAATAAATAAAAAAGAAGAAAAAGTAACCCTGATCTTTAAGGAAAAATATATAAATTTACAATTTTTTATTATAGAATGCATCACAAAAATCCAGTATGAAAGTGTGTTTCTGGATTGAAAGCCTTCCAATTGATCATCTTGATATCAAGATGTATAGATAACAAAAAAAAAAAAAAAAAGAAATTTCTAGTCCTAAAAATAGTGCATCATGTAACAAGTTCTCTAGACCGTCTATTTTCAATATTTTCAAGGGTTTATATATATGTTAGATCTATAGTTTTATATTTAGGTTTGAACATAAAATGTCCCAGACTAGAACTACATCTTCGATAAAATTTAGATGTGCACTTTACCTGTATAGTATAAGGTAGGCCCTTATGAAAACCTTACCATTTTTATAATAACCTTGGCAAGGCTAAGTGAATCTTTTGTTCTTTGTGCATCTATTTATGTTCACGCATTGGTAAAAGATGATGGGGTTGAAAATGTGATAAAGAAAGGAGAGAGAGAGAGATTTTAGAGTGAGGATTCCACAAGTACAATAGTAATAATTTCGTTTGTTTCACCTTGGTTTTAGTATCTTTCCATAGTCCTTTCAATGAAAGTAGTTTTCAATGTTTCATCTTGGTTTTTGCATTGTTTCCTATTCATTTCATTTCATTTCCAACACATAAACAAACAAGGTGTCTCCCCACATATTCCGATGAAATTAATTACCTTGGTTTCTTTGAAACCTCCACCCCATATGGTTCCTCATATATAACTATAAAGGAAAAGTATTTTGTAGGGCCGCAGGTGTATATTTTACCTTAAAAGCCAGTCCCAACATAGAAAAATGGCAAATCAATCATCTACATGATAAACTTGGATCTAGATTATTAAAGGGATTGTATACTAATGAGACATTTATTTTAGTGCAAGGAGGTCACAATTAATCGTAGCCATTAGATGTCCAATTGGATCGCTTGGGGTGTGTCAGGAAGTTTAAAATTTTTTTTATCGGGCTCTGAGTTTAGTGACAAGTATACCTATAACCATTTGATTTGAAATTTGATGGGCAAAAATGGTTGTGACCTTGTATTAAAAGTAAATGGTTTCTTTATATATTTTTCCATTATTACAAAAATGGTCCTTTTACAATGTTCTCTTTCGACAATCCAAATCACGCCGTCATATTGCGAGATGTACATCATTTCTACAGGTCAATGTGCTATAGTTAAGGGCTAAACAGATTTGTGTGCTATCACTTTGTTTTCTGAGCCGGATTTGAGTTGTCCGGCTGGGTTTCTAGGTGTGGTGGTATATAAAATCGTGGCCTCACCAATACCTCAACCAAAAATAAAAGCTACTTTCTTTGGTATAAGTCTCACATTTATTTAGTGCTGCATAGTAGACTCCCATCGGAACATTGTTCACAAAAGAGCTAAATTGAGAATTTATTCGATATGAAATTTCCTAATGCTCTTTAAAATTACCAAATGAGTATTTTCAAAA